TGGACAGAAACATCAACAAGCTACAAATCAGAAAAACTGGAGAAATGTTGCTTACAAGCAAAGTTTGTATCCAGAAGGAACATGAAAATATAAAAAAACAAACATTTATGAACGGCAGTTTTTCCAACAATACCGTTTTGTGAAAAAGTCAGAGTAAATGTTCTGGATAAACCATAACCAAACCTACCACTGGAAAGAATAACACATATACTAAAGGGACTTTTACTTTATTATTCATCTTTTAGCTGTAAATGATGTTTTTAAAAGGGTTAGGACCTAACAACACTCTGCTGGAATTATCTGTTGCACAGAAAAGCTGGCAGCTTTCTGTTTTGTTTTATTTTTACTTCTTCTTTCGAGAACATAAGTAGCCTTGGGCTAAATATAAAGTCGTCGCACATGGAAGTTTCATGAAGGTTTCTGCACTTCAGCAGAGACAGTGCTTACAGACAGCAGTTAGGATTTATCTTTTCAGACATCAGTCGTGGTTTCTGACCCAGAGAGCGGAACAAACTCAACAGCTACACTGACTGAAACTGAGTATGAGAATCCGGGTCTCCTCACCTCTCTGGGTACAGCTGACTGAGCACCCAAACCATCTGCACTGCTGCAGAACGGACCTGCTCGTAGTCATCTGTGAGCAGCCTGCAGGCCTGCAAACACACAAGAATACATACAGAAGGTTGGATTAAACATCTAAACTACAGTGGGAGTGCAGTAAGCTGTGAGGACGTATTCTGCTCGTACCTGATCATAAATAATCTGATGAATCTTCATCCCTCTCTCATGCAGCTGCAGCTGGAAAACAAACAACAGCACAGAGAGCAAGCAGAGTTATTGAAACCTGAAAATAGAGTGGGCTGTTTTCCTTAAAGCTCACTGTGCTTGGTTCCTAAACACATGAGTCTCTAGTGCTGGTTGCAGTGCAGGGGGGGTTACAGGGTTTTCCTACCATGGCTTTGAGGGCTGCAGTGCGGACTCTGGGGTCTTGGTCTCCAAAGTAGTCGCTGATAATGCTCTGGACATCCCTCAATCCTCCTGGAGGTAAAATAGCAGGCCGCCATAAAAACCATCACACAGCAACTTAAAGCACAATAAATAATGACACATAAATACGTTTTGAGGATTAAACTAAATCAGACATCAAACTTAGATACAAAAGGATGGATTGATGGATTTACCTCTCTGTATTTTTAACATTTTAAGCTTTAGGTAAAATAAATACAATAAGTATGTATACAAACCTAAGGATGTGCCCGCGCCCTCGTTTTCTTTTCCTAGGGGAGCGTCCACCATGCCGAGACATCCCAGGAGCTGCAGGCACTTATTCCTCACCCCAAAATACGTATCAGAGAGATGCTAAGAGGAGAGAAGAGAAACGAGGAGGACATTTACTGGTTTGTGCAGAAAGTCCTGTTGAGTTTGTAAAGACAAATTCTGTGTATGGACTCTGAATAAGTGTTTGTGTCACCTTGTAGGCCACCTCTACGAGCCTCAGTCTCAGTGCAGGACTCTCGGGCAGCTGTGTACCAATGACCAGCAGGGTGTCCAGCAGCTGGGCGAGAACTTGATGGGACTCTGAACACACAAAGAAACAAAACAGTTTGCTATGAAAGTTTCTCTGAGTGTTGGAGATGGATAAATGTTCAGATGTGTCGTACTCTCATTGCTGAGCGTGTTAATGGCATCGTCAACGATGCAGTCGGGGCTGAAGCCCTGCGTTTTAGAGAGCAGGCCGAGCAGAGAGGCAATCTTCAGCCGCACAGAGTTATCCGTCTCCTGGAAGAAAGAATCGTCATCATTAGAAGTTTGACTTTTTTTTTAGGACACTGGGAATTCTGGTTTTATCAACTCTATTTAAAAAGAAAAAAAATACCCACAACTCTTTACCTTGTAGTAGTGCTCCAGCAGGATCCTGACCACACCCTCCACGCTTTCTGCCTCCACAGGCTTGCGTGCAAACTGCAGCAGGTACTGCAGGGCATCGGTGGAGTTGGTGGCTTTACAGAGGTCAATGTGGAGAGCAGCAGATTTACTGGGTTTGGACAGACGCAGCTTTTTGGCTGGAGTTTCTTCATGTGGAATCTGTAAGTGTAAAAACACAGTTGCAACTACAAAAAGCATCTAATCTCCTGACATATAATCTTTTTTCCTCTAACTGGGCCATCTATTCTTTTTGACCATATATACTAAGAGCTACTGTCCATTTATCCATGTTCTCCTGTGTTGTTTTTGTTTTTTTAATCCAGGTCACAGGGGCAGCAGTCTAAGCTGGGATACCCAGACCTCTTTCTAATTTCACCTCATTCAGGTCTTCTGGGGGGTACTGAGGTGTTTCCAAGCCTGGGTGTTCGCAGGGGTCTCCCCCAGTGATACCTGCCTGAAACATCTCACCCAGAAGGCGTACTAAAGCTTTCCCAGTAAGAAGCTCAAACCATCAATTGTCTCATTTTTCTCTCAGTTCCTCGCTCCATCTCTAGAAACAGCTCATTTAGGCCACGTATATCTGCAATCCTACTGTTTTGGTCACCACCCAGGTGAGAGGTCATGCTGACAGGTGAGAGTAGGAACATAGTTCATCCAGTAAATCAGCTGCTCCTCTTTGATCACTACAGACCTTTGCGTTGTGACCATTACTGCAGACGCTGTTTAAATCTCCTGCTCCGCTCTCCTCTCACTCATCTCCAAGAAGCTGCGACGCTTAAACTTGTAGTTTACACTGGTAACCTCAAAGGCAAGTTAACCCTTTTCTGTCTGAGAACCGTAGCCTCGGACCGTGAGGTGCCAACTCTGGTCACACTAACAACAAACTGCCCCACTGCGAGCTGGATGTTGTTGCTTAATGAAGCCACAAGATCCACAAAAACGAATGACATGACGCATAAACGGCTAATAACAGCACTGCTTCGAACAGCTATTACAGTTTCCTCTTACTTTGGCTAAAAATCCTCTGTGAGAGGAGCCAGAAGTTCCTCTGTGCAGGAAAAACTCAGAACATGCGAACGAGCTCAGTTAGCGGATTAATGATTGACGTGAATGCTAAATCGGATGTAAACAACTCGGTTTCTTTTTGAGCTTCCGAAGCGTAAAATGCCACTGTCAGTGGATACCGTGCTATACTGTGTGTAAGAATAAAAGCACTAAACGGAATAAGTTGTGCTTTTCCTCTGCACTAAACTCTCAGAGGATCCATGTTGTGTTGTGACTGTGAGCGGCTATCTTTTAGCATTAGCTAACACGGTACTTGGCGCAGAATTGTAACATTTAGCGATTTCTTTAACGTTTAAACTCTAAGTTTACAACAGCTGACGAGACGGTTATAATGTGCTCACCTGTACAACTTTGGAAAATTCCTCATAAACTCGCTTTTTCAGATGTGCTGCCATGTTTATGAACACACAGTTAGCTAAGCGTTTCCATTCAGCAGCAGGATAAATTGTCCCTTTACAGTTTCCGTAACTTCCTGATATTGTCCATGTCCGCGACATCGATCTTTTAATTATTATTTTGGATATTAATATTTATATATACTTTCATTTTGTTTATTTTTATAGCTTTATGTCAGATTTGATATGCAAAAAACATTTTCTTTCTTTTTCACTAAACACCTTTTCACCTCTTCAAGCATAAGACAGCCTCTAAGTCAAGGGAGAAACCAGTATTATGTCTACACGTAACAGGCAACTTAGCAAAAGAAGCTATTTTAAGTTGATTCTTTAGGCACTTAGCTACAATTAGGCACATTTCAACATAATGTGCAGTGTGTCTCTAACATTTGGAGGAAATTTGACAGATGGAGGTCAAGAGAGAGGTACAGCAGAGGGTCTCTACAAGAGGCTCTGTTGTGGTTTGGATCCTGTGATGTTGGGGAACTTGGAATCCAATACCATCTGGAAAGACTCAGCATCACGGTAGCAGTGTGAGATCATCTTGATAGAGACCAGAAGAAATCCAAAGAAGAGCTATAAAGAAGTCTGGAGGATTATTCCTGAAGACCACTTATAGAAATTACAAGACAGCTGTGCTGATGAATAAAGGTGATCATGCCAAATATGGACTTTTCAGACTTGTTAGAATTGTACTCTTGTTGTTCCTATTTGTTTTGTATATATGCATATTTCAGTGAATCACTGCACGTATTTACTATTTTTCTATTTAAGCAAATGTGAGTAATGATATTTGGATGATCTACTATTTGTTTTAGCTTTGTAATACTTTGTAGCTGTGTAATGCAGTGAAGCTATGACCTTGCATCTTCGCACACTTTTAGCGATTTCAGACAATTACAACCCCAATGTCAACAAAGTTTGTAAATAAAACACAATGCAATTATTTTCAGATCTCATAAACCAACATTTTATTCAACATACAACACCAAAACATTACAAATGTTTAAAGTGAAATATTTTACTATAAAACATTAGCTCATTTTGAATTTGACGGCAGCAACACATCTGAGAAAAGTTGGGACAACAAAGGCTGGAAAAGTAAGTGGTACTAAAAAGCATCAACTGGAGGACATTTCACAGCTGTGTTAATTAACAACAGGTCAGTAACAAAAAGAGAGGATGGACAGAGGTTCACCGAGCTCCAAAAACTGTCTACAAATTGTGGAAACTTTTCAGAATAATGTTTACCAATGGGGGTCAAGATCTCTGTCTAAATAAATAAATAAATTTGGGTAAATTCCCAGATGATTAAACATGCAACTATTTTGCTGGTAATATCTGAAATCAGTAAAGAAAATCAACAGCCTATTTATGCAAGATAATTCATAATTTTATTGGGGGGTTATATTGGTTGGGTCTGATTATGCCCCTGGTCCGGCGGCTTGCACATCTGGAAATGTACCATCAATGCTGAAAGATCTATACAGGCTTTAAAACAACGCAACATAGCAACAGATCGCATCCAGGCAACGTCTTTTTCACATTTCAGCAGTAAAAACAAATCTAAAAAAACAAACAAACAAAGAACTAAAAAACAACAAGAACCTTTTTTTTGCATTAAAATTTTCCACAAATTATTAATAAAATATGTCATTAATAATACAATACTGCAACATAACTGTAGTAGTATTCTCTTACAGGATCCATGAGGATGTGATGATTGAAAAGGGGCCAGAGAAGTGAAAATAGTACAAAAATCCTGCAGTGATGGACGGTCAGTTGATCTCGTGGAGCATGAAGGATTCTGCTGATGCTTTGGCCCTCTCGCGGTCCGACTTCCACGTGAAGAATGCCACTATGATCACCATGATCGGGAGGGCCACACAGAGCACGATGCGGCTGATGGGCAGCTTCACCTGACACATCGCCGTGACCGAAGGATTCAGGCTGTCATCATCATTATTTTGGAACAAAAAGGCAGACCTGAAGTCCAGAAACACGGCTCTGCTGTTCTCTGTGGTGTTCACCAGACACCTCCACCTCCTGTTGTTGTCGTCCTTCTGGAGTTTTGTCACCAGAGTGATGTTGCAGCGAGTGTGGCTGGTCAGGTTGTACCTGCACAGAGGTGAAACGGACAGAGAAACATCACACAGCTGTCGTTCATCACCAGGCAGTGTTCACCTGAACATTTCTGCTTTTAGTTTTGGTCTGAGACAATAATTTCATTTGACTTACATTTTCTTTTATAATGTAAAATATAAGTTTATAATTCTGGTTGTTTTTTTTATTCAGTCTTTATCTCATTTTGTGTATTTTGCTGTGTGTATGTGTCTGTATTAGAACCTCATCGATCTAAATTCAGCTCAGATACTCTCGCAATTTAGATTTTTTTAATAACAGGAAATATTTTCCTCCTTAGATAAAGAATAAATAAATCTTTTACTTTTACTCATATTTTATATTTAATGGTACTAGCTGTTTTTAAACGATTAAAATAAAAAAAATGGTTATCTATTAAGATGATTGCAATAAAGAAAACATTTATTGCAATACAGCACAACATGTGTTATGGGTTATTTATAGTAATAGTCTTTATGATTAACAGAAATAAAATGACCTAAAAAACCAACCTGCTGTTGTTGGGCAGCTTTCTCCCATCCTCATCCACCCAGCTCAGGCCGAACACGCTCTTTGAGTATGACTTGCAGCTCCCTGCGTCATAATAAGTGAAGAAGGTGCAGGTCAAGGAGAGGATTCCTCCAGGCTGGAGGTCGGTGAAGGTGGAGAAAGACGAGATTGTGAGGAGGGAGAGGTAAACGTCAGTGACAGGCTGGTCGTTCCTCAGGCAGACGTAGGATCCAGCGTCCCGCACCCTGAGGTTGCGGAGGCTGATGGAGCAGTTGGATGCGAAGGTCATACGGCTGGATTTTTCTGAATCGGCCGTCACCTTCCCATTGACGACCTCATGGACGAAGCGCACGTCCGTGCCTTTGTTAAAGAAGGTCCAGGAGATGGCGGAGCAGTCTGAGGACACCATGCATGGAAGAAGAGCGTCTCCTCCAACTGTGCTGTACACAAACACGTCCTTTTTGCACCTCGCACCTGTCAACAAGAGATTTTTTATTTAAACAAATCTGATAAAACCTTCATGAAAGACATGAAAGATCTAAAAGGAGCAATTTAGTATGCAGTAATATTCAAACATCTGTGCTCTTTAATATTTTCTTACAGTACAGTCCAACTTTGTAGTCTGTAATTTTCATTTTAAGGAAAAAAAAGCAGTTTAAAGAAAGACTTTCCCTGCTTGTGCTGTTTGCACATTTTTAAGACTTAAAGACTAAAAGGTCAGAGAACTCCCTGCACGAGGCCAACATGACAAAAGGTCGAGGACCAAAGTGCATACCAACGATTTTCCCCTGTGTCTATAATCACCTTTATACAGTCAGCCGCCCTGTTGAATGTATTTGAAATGAGAGATTAAAAAAAAAATTTATATGACAAAAAAACAAAGAAGGAAAACACAACCCCCCCAAAAAGCCAATAAATTGTTCGGCTACAGTTCAGAACTGCAGATCTGCATCAAACATTAGGAACAGACATGGAAACCTAAAAGTCAGAGTTGTAAATAGGATAACAAATAACAATGAATAAAATGACGTTTTTAATCGTTTAAATGTAAATTTTAATTAAGTTACAGACTAAAAGTTCCCTCCACGTGTGAGTCTCTCGAAATGTTTGAAGTTTTTAATTTGAATTTTATTTTCATGAGAAAATTAAGACAATTTCTCACTTTCTCACAAGTTGGGAGACTTTTTCACCTCCTGTAGATTTTTCATGCAAATCTACTTTTGAGAAAACCTGCAAACAATCAAACACATCCAACCAGTCACACAAAACCCTGTGTGGAGATAAAAGCTTTGCCTTCGTGAGGTCTGTGTTTCAGATTTCATTTTTAATCACAATCGGTTCTGAATATTAAAACGATTGGATAAATGGATCCTAAAAAAAAGATTAGATAAAAAAGTAAAAGTAATTCAAGTGAAGCAAAACTTCTTTCTGTGTGTCTTCATCAGACACGTGTTCATTTACATTTAAAAGAGCTTTTAAAGAATACAAATCTCAAAAAAAGGAGAAACCTCTGTAGCTAAGAATCAAACCAACAACAAACAATCTGTACCTGTCAGGAGAAGACTGGTGAGCAGCAGGACTCTCATCATGTTTGTGATTTCAACACCGCAGCGTGTTTTGTTCTCGTCGCTGCTGCCTCAGCTCTTTCTAGACTGCCACCTTCATTTCCTGTGTTACCCCAAACTAAACAGGACGCTCACATCAGCCTTCAGCCTCACTGATACGAGCCTCCAGCACGACGTGTTAAATGTTTTTCATCACAAACACATTCAGTAAAATGTGTTTATGTGTGAAAGCTCATTTCTGTGCTTATAACAAGCAGCTTTTTCCATTTCTTTAAATCACATCAAAGCTCCTGCTGTCCCTGCCCATCAGACCTGTGCTGCTTCTGCATTTTACTCCAAACTGCAAACATACATATTTGGATACCATGTGAAAGGATTTTCACAGTACCTTGTATGTTTTTAAGAGAATAAAATCTAAAATACTGTTACATACACTGGATACAGCTGTAGTGACACAGGCCTAGACTGGACAGCAACTCCCTGGTAATCTCCAGTAACCAGGGAAAAATGATGAGTAGTAGTAGCCACTACCAGCTCCACCACCATCATCAAGTTTGCTGACGACACCGTCGTGGTGGGCCTGATCTCTGATAACAACGAGACGGCCTACCTGAAGGAGATTAGGAATCTGGAGAACTGGTGCCAGAGGAACAACCTCCTTCTAAACGTCAGTAAGACAAAGGAGCTGATAGTGGACTTCAGCACCAAGCAGGAGAGGAACTACCAGACCCCCGTCATCAACGAGTGCCCAGTGGAGAGAGTGGACAGCTTCAAATACCTCGGAGTTCACATCACGCAGGACCTGTCATGGTCCTGTCACATCAACACCGTGGTGAAAAAGGCCCGTCAGCGTCTCTACCACCTCAGACGCTTGAGAGACTTCCAACTGCCCTCCAAGGTGCTCAGGAACTTTTACTCGTGCACCATAGAGAGCATCCTGGCGGGAAACATCTTAACCTGGTTCGGGAACAGCACCATGCAGGACAGACGAGCTCTACAGAGGGTTGTGCGGTCAGCTGAGCGCACCATCCGCTCCGAGCTCCCTGACCTGCACTCAATCTACAGCAGGCGGTGCTGGACCAAGGCCAGGAAGATGGTGAAGGACCTCAGCCATCCCAACAACAGACTGTTCTCTCTGCTGAGGTCAGGAAAGCAATTCCGCTCCCTGAAGACCAACACAGAGAGACTGAGGAGGAGCTTCTTCCCGCAGGCGATACGGTCTCTCAATCACACCACCACACAGTCCTGACCCACACATATAGTTCTTACACACACACTGGACTTTCTGGACTTTGTTTTTGCACAACACTGGTCACTATATTCTTCATTTCCGGTTAATACTTGTACAGCTGCTGTTATTGTGTATATATATATTTATATTTATTTATATTTCTTCATACATTCTTATATAGTTCTATATTGTGTATTTTGTTGTACAGTTATTTTATTTTCAACTTTAATTTAGATATTTTATCTTATTCTTTCCCAGTTAAATTACCCTTCATTCTAATTTGTGTTGTACAGTTATTTCATTTTTAACCTTAATTTATATTTTATTCCCTCCTAGTTAAATTTACCCTTATTAATTTTTCATATTTATTTCCTATCTTATTCATAGCCTTTTCCTTTTTTGTTGTCTTTAGGTCACGAGCAGTTGTCCAAGCATTTCACTACATATCGTACTGTGTATGACTGTGTACGTGACAAATAAAATTTGAATTTGAATTTGAATTTGAATTTGAGTAGTTGCAGGAGGTTGGTGGCTGTCTCAGTTACAAACAGGGTGCCACGCCCAAAACTTCCTAGTGATCGTTTCAGTTAGTGGCAGATTGCTGCGGCTATGCATTTGCAGTGAAGACGCAGATTTGTCCACGAACAACTTCAAAGTACAAGTTGTGCCTCACTGCCAAATCAACATGATTCAAGCGTCTCTGTTTCCAGTTTGTGCTGCAGTCACAGACTCGCTGCAGAGTGGCCTGTAGTCGGTGACTGTTTGCAGACAAGTCAGCGTCTTCCATACAAACTATGCAGTGCAAAGCTGTTCCAAAAAGGCTTTCGGTGCAGCAGCGTGCAGTAAAGCGTTTTACAAGGAGTTTTACTCAATGACAACAACCACCTGGTGCTTACTGGTGGGTCACTGACTGGTCTGCAGACCTGCATGAATTAAGCTTTAGCATTTGACGTCACAGCAGTCTCCAGCAACCAGTCACATCCAGTTAGGATACCCATTTTCCCCTGATGACCGGTGGTTGATAGGTGGTCACTAACCAATTTTTAGGAGCCAGACTGGCGGCACTAAACTGGACCTCTCCACCATGTCTATGGTGCTGGTTCATTCTGGAGCATTTTAATAGAATTATCTGACACATCATTTGGTTTCCTGTGAGACACAAATCATCCCAGACGTTTGTGTTTGCTTGAATCTTTTTTATGGTTTTATTTATATCTTATTATGTCGTATTTTTATTATTTTGTTTAGTTTCAATGCACAGCACTTTGTGTCAGCTGTAGTTGTTTTAAAGTGCTTTATAATCAAAGGTGGACGGACGGTGGACTGTAGCTCAAATTCTCTGCAGGGTCTGTGTGGTCACAAAAAACAGGAACGCAAAAGAGCACAAGGATCCTTATACCGAAAACCCAGCTGGGTCTTTGCACTCAAAGCTTCCATCTCAACATTGAAAAACGAACATGTCAGAAGGCAAAATGCAAACACTGAAGCTTCAGATGCACAGGCCAGACCAGTGGGTGATACAGCAGCTGTGTTCATCTCTTTTACAGTGTGTGGTTTCAATCAGTGGTTTTCAAACTTCTTCTGATATTTTCCACTTTAGACATCCAAAGTTTTAGTGAAATAAACGCCAACACAATAACATAATTCTAAATAATCGATCTTTATATTGATATCTATTTTTAATTTAGATTTGCTCAGTTCATTCCTGCTACTGGTGCCTGCCTGAAGGTGCCTGCCCTGTGGCTTTAAAGCAAGGTTAGAGGACTTGTTAACTGCACTCTTATGCTTTGCTCAAATGATCCAGTCAAACAGTGCTGCTGGGCTGATCACAGGTGGCACAGTTTTGTGAAACAGCAAAGAATAAAAAGATGTCTGCTCACGCTCAGAGCTGAGTAACGGCGTTTGTGTTAAACACAAACAAAAACGTTGTTTTTTGAATTGTCACTTAGCAGCATCACTTTTCTTATAATGAGATCCAGGGTGTGAAATCTTGTGCAATATTTCATCCTCAGGGGCTTTTGTGAGGAAGTGCAATTGTGTCATTGTGGTGAAAATACTGTATGCTACGTGTCCACCCCTCCTCTTTCTTTGAACAAGGGAAGAAATCGTGCTTTGACCTAATACCTCAGCAAACCTTTTTTCTCTTTGCGCGTCATCCTGCACTTGAGCTAAAATTCGAAGAAATTCTTCAAGAAGAGCTTGTCAGCTGCTAACATTCTGCCATCTGACTTTTCAGCGACCAAACATTCACTCATGAATTCACCAAATATTGGTGGACCAACTTAGGTATTTATAGCTGTTGGGACTTTATTAAATGCTCCCTGTCACGCTCACTGTGTGCAGCAGTGCTACTTGTTAGTTTTGTTTTTTCTTTTGAACGTCCTTTAGATGAAAACTGAAGATTGTCTGTAATTTTATCGTGTTAACAAATCTAGGTTAATGTTGTGGAAGACACACCAGCAGGACACTCATGGGCTGCTTGTGGAAACGACCCCAGATTTTTTCTTATCTGTGGCCTCCAAGCTGCACAATCGGCCCCTGTAACCGCTGTTTGTTGCCATTTAGTCACACTCTGATCACAAAGGATGTGGTCTGACATGAGACAGCTGATGGATGCTATGCCCTGCTCTGTGGCAAACACTGCTCTGCTTTCTGTCAGGACGCTTGTTCTTTTTTTTAATGACCTTTTTAGTTCTCTTAAACTGGGTTGTGAAATGCTTGGTTGTCGTGTGTGTGACGCTCTTTTTTTCGTCACTGACTTAACTTCCCCGGCTACAGTGTATGAAGTTTTATACTAAACGACCAACCTTTGGTTAGAAAGTCTAACACAGCAACACGCTAAGGACTGAATGACCAGACAGTTAACGCCAAGGAGCACTGGACATGTTGCTTTTTAAGAAAGAAACCATCACTCTGGATTTGTATGAAATCATGTGGCCAAGTGACCAAATCCAAAATCTGTCTTAATTAGGCCCCTTGATCAATTTAGGTAAATAAAACCAAACACTGATTTCTCAATTAAATTGGAGAAACAAGAAACTCTTTGGTACACTTGGGCAACAAAAAAGAAAAACTGATTTTGTTTCTTTTGATCCAGTTCTACTACGGGGCTGATTTTCTGCAGGGCACGGACAAACCTGACCCGTCATAGACACTTCACAGCTGTTTGCCTTTCTAAACGTCTTTGTGTTCACTCGAAGATCATTTGTGCTGTAAATGTAGGAGACGTACGTGGCTGCTGTCCTGTGGATTGTTTGCGATCACACTACTTTTCTCTCTGTGATATTTAGGTTAGGTATTTAGGTTTGATTGAAAAAAAAAAGAAAGAAATCTGAGTTTTATTTAAATTCTTTAAATGTCACATAACTGTTGAGTTATCATTTTCACATATTTCCAAATATTTAGGAAATATGTGAAAAACTAAATTCAGACATTTTGTTTGACTAAATGTTGTAATTGCTTTTTATTATTTGCATCAAATCGTATGCAAGAAGCTGTGTGGCTCGTGTTACAGTAACGACAGTAGGATGAGTTTCACGTGTGGACAATGCCATCTAATTAAACAAGTTACTACTGAGACCTGCGGGTGGACAAGAAGATTTAATAATAGAGTAGTTAGTGTTTGTTCAACACAGCACTGAATATGAACCAACATTTATATTTATAAGCAGCTGAAATGAATTAAAAGATAGAAATCTTTGCTTGGCAGCAGGTGCTTAAACCCACAGACTGTACATAAAACATTAACATAGCCATAATGCAACGTCACACACTGATTATTCAGGTCCTGCTGTGAAGCCTTGAGCTGAACATTTATTGTTTAAATAAAAATATCAAGTTTGAAAAGGAAAAAACGGTGAGGCGTAGCTCTGACTGACAAACACAGACAGGCAGATGAAAATCACAAGGCTGCCCCGGCCTGAAGTCCTTCTGGACACTAACAGAGACAATGATTAAAACATATCATCATGTCCTAGTAAACAAGACTGAAAGCTAGAGAGTAAGACCCCAAACTCATCACTAAAGTGTCCCCTGAGGTAAGCTGGACTTCTGAAACCTGAGAAGTCGCCCCCTGCTGGCTACTAGGAAAGATGCACTTCACTCATCACAAGCAGAAGCTACAAGCCCTCTTTTTTTTCCATCTTTCAGGAAGTCAGTACCTTTGAAATTAATGATAGACCGATGCTTTACTGAGCCTTTGTTTTAGTGTGGCTCTATAACAAAAACATAACAAAGTGCAGTCTGTAATTTTTTTAAAGAAAGAGTATGCACGGTTTCAAGTTTTGTTCAGCCGTCTCATCACCACCAGGTGAATGTGAGTTGATAAAAGTAGTCGTAGCTCCTGGACAGGAAGCTCTTCTCCACGGCGTGAGGCTGGATGCTCACCCTGTAGCCCTGGTTCTCGATGTCCATCTTTACACAGTCCAGCAGATCTTTGACCAACGGGGCGGCCTTCCACGGCCCGAACGTCACCACCGACTCCTTAGCCGCCTCCAAGCTGTTAATGGCATTATCATAGAAGCCCAAATCCTCCTCCGTCCTCAGCACGCAGATGATGATGTAGGAGTGGCGTGCGGCGATGGCCTCGGCCCTGGCGATACGAATCAGAACCTGGAGGAAAAATTCTAAATGATCATTCAAAAAGTGGAAATGTGAAGTTGCATGAATTCCAAAGTAGGAGTGTAAACTACAAACAGTCGTGGATTATTGGTGTGAGTGCAGCTCACCTCGATGTTTTCCTTGTAGTGTGGGACTCTGGAGAGGAACTGCTGCCTTCCCACCAGCTCTCCAAACAGCTGAGGAGTCTCCTCCAAGAGTTTGATCAGCGGTTTGATGTTGTAGTGGATCGCCTCCTTATGAACCTGCAGAAACACGAGTTGCAAACTTAAAATTCATTTTGGCAGCAGGGCACACCCCCTGTTTTTTAAACTGGTTTTATATTCATATCTTAAATACTTGAAAACTATTAAGAACTTCTTCAACGTAAACTTATGGCGGATATTCATATTAAACATGGCCAAACAGTGTGAGGACAGTCCTAATAATCTTCCCTGTCTAACAGGTTTGCAGGCGCAACCAATCAGAAGAAAGCTTAATTAAAAGGAGGAGGAGTTAAAACAGTTTGTGCCAGTGGCGCCAAAGCCCAGTAAATACAAAAAAGGATTATTTTGAATTGTGAATCATCCAAAGCCAGTCTAGTAGAATCAGAAAGTAAAAACATGGAGCTTTATACGAGCAGAGCTACATCGTGATAAGTCGGACCTCCTGGATGTTCTCCTTGGGCAGCTGTTCTGATCTCAGGAACTCCAGGATGGCTCCAAAGTGTGACCCATCGCGGTCGATGAAGTAGCGTCCCTGTGTGTCAGTACGCAGTTTGGGCGGTCCGCTGAAGATCTCCGCCAGCTTGGAGTCGGAGTGCTTCCTGAGCGTGCTCAGAGTGGTGGTGTACAGGTGACCCCCGACATTTAACTGCACAACATGAAAGTTCTGAGGAAAAAGACGATATTTAGGTTTCTGCAGAGTGCACCAAATGACTGCAGGAACAGTTACAGTATTTAAACACTGGGCTTATGTGCAGCCTCATGCTCAAATACAGACGATCATGAATCAAAAGTTTAAGCAGCTTTTATCTTATTATTGTGAGTCAAAGTCAGAATCTTACATAACCAATAATAGATCAATTTAGTTTGCAAAATCTGCAACACAACTAATTACAGTCTTGAAATTAATCATATTTATTAGAAGTGTTTGTATTTGAAGGAGGGTTCTAAGACATCTCCTGTGGATGATCCATATTCATCTTGTAGTTTTTCCTCCCCTTGTCTCGATGGAGCATGCTCACTTTACTTTACATACAGTTTGAATGTTGATCATTCCTGACAACAAGGATTTTCACTTGAGTTTAAGGAGTATTTTTGTCTGTGATTTCTTCAGATCTGCACATAGAGAAAGCTAAATAAATACCTGAATGCACAGACTGTGTGTAGCTCTGCAAGGCTGTCAGGCAGCATGAATCACCCACTTAATGATTTGCACAGGTAGATAAGACTGCATTCCTTCATGGTCTGTCAACACTGAAGCAGCCTGTCAGGGCGGCCTCACAGGACTAACATTAAAATTATGGATAACGCCTTTCACATGTTTATTTATTTATTATATATTCATTTAAAAAAATATAACATTAATGAAAACAGTGTAGATTTGAAATATATTGTAGTTTTTACCTGATGCCACTAAATTCAGAGGAAGGATTCACATATAAAAATTTCAGATTTCAACAGATTTTACAAAGATTATACAAAAAAACAAACAAACAAAACAAAAAAACAATCACCATGTACAAAAACAGTCTCTTAACATTTTGCTGTTGTTTGTTTTCTTTAAATTATTTTAATTGTGCCACATAATATGCTTAAAAGTCCCGTGTTACTGTGGTTCATGAGCGCGGACATTTAGCCTGCATGTAAGCTCTTTGAGTACAAATAAACACCTATTTGTTTATCACATGATCATAAAAGACAGGAAAATGCAGAAAATAGATGCATGGACATGCAGACATGTCAGATCAGCGCTGTGAGCCGGGACATACCCACAGTGTAAACAGCTTCACAGCTTCAGCTGTAAAATGCTGCTTACACAGCGATGCGTCACTTTTTACTCTCTTACCTGTGATACTTACAGTACATTTCTCTGATACTGTACTCTAATTTGAGAAAAACGAAGGAAACATGCGCTTTAAATATTATGAAGAAGCGTTAAAACCAAACCAATGCACAGAGACAACATTTCATGATCTTAAGCATCTAAATTAAAAATATTATCTGGAAATATTCTCATTCCTGACTGCAGTATTCACAAACATTGCCTCTATAATTGGATGATTAGTGGCTGTTTTATGACCGAGCTGTGGCTGTAACAGTGCACTGCTTTGTATCAGCGCCTCATTTGCCCGTAAAGGAACCGACCGTAGCTGCCAATGAATGACAGCGTTTTCCTTGTTCCTCAAGTAAAGTACTACATATACTGCTAAACTGAAAGTACAGCAATACTTCAGTAAGTCTGTGAAATCCCACCGCTCACTGCGTCGGCTCCACCTTTACATGCACAGAGAAGTTAAACGGTGTTCCCATTAATCCTAAAACGGCAGGAAAGGTTTTGGGAACATTTGAGACGAAACTTCCTCGAAGTTGGAAGTTTGATTCCTGTGAACCAGAGCGCCCTTTAACGCGTCTCTGGAAAACTGTTAGAGATTAAAATGCCGTGAAACAGCAGCACAGCAAACATCTGCCCTGTTTCACTTTGGAAAAAGTTATAATTTGTTGTCTGGCTACACCTGCATCCACCTGTTCAGCCCCCGAGCAGGTGGAGGATTTCCTTCAGCTCCACCAAACTTCCAAACGATCGCACCGAGGGCTGCAGTCTTACCGGAGCCGCGGACGAAGGCGGTTTTTCTGTTGATTTGTAGTCCGGCAGACTCATCGTGTCTTCAGCGGTGGTCCGGGTGGGAGCTGGGAGTTCACCTGTTACATTTTTCTACAGGTAGCAACCAGGGGGCGTGGCCTAACCCGGACCTTCTTTAGTGCCGAGAAGATGGATCACTCGGCTGCAACACGATTCTCTTTCTTATCAAACTTTTTAATTTACCCTGAAACGGGGAAAGCGCGCATGCGCAGACTGATAACCGTTTATTTATACTCGTATATTTCTAAAATATATTTATTCAGTGTAAAGTTCTATGGATGGTGTGATATATTCACATTTACTGTAGGCTGCCACACTTACGTCACACGTGACGTTTGTTGTACCAGAAAATGGAGCAGAGTGACACATCTTTCCTTCTGACGTCACCCTAAAGGGGCATTTCACTCAGCTTACTCACTTTTCTCGTTAAACACTCCGTGAAGCTGTGAACATCAGTCTTGTACTCATTGGTTTCCACACTGACGTAGTTCTCTTTTCAATCAGTCATTGACACACAAAACAAAAGTCCTGATTCATTTACTTTCAAGGTGAGTATCAATTTCACCATAACTCATATTTCTTACCTGGTGGTTCGTGTCCCACCAGCGGGGCCAGCACCACAGTTTGACAACCAGCTGTGCACTAAATGCAAAACTTAAAGCTGAAACATATTTTAAAACCAACAATCTGCATGTACAATGTCCAAATTTTGAAGCTTACTTTACGTGTAAATTCCAGCTTCCACCCACCAGGGGGCGCCATAGCAACTTTTAGATTTTCACTATTTTGAATAGAATATTAGATTTCACATCCTGTGTCCTCAACGGGGACATTACTTTGACTTTTCTCTACCATATACTTTGTTTATGCCCAACACTGGTTTCATACTTCAGCAGTGACTCTGCATTCTGCTGTGAAATAAACCTGCTGCTCCCACACACCAGGAAAAAAAAAAATTACGGTACATTGTGTTTAAGAGGTCGGCTCATAATCTTCTGAGCACTTTGGCATGTTTTGAAGATGAGCTGGTTGGGAAAATTGTAAACTTTTCCCTCAGTTTTCCCACTCCACATGAAACCTACAGGCAGTTAAATAAACCAACTCATTGTTTTAAGTGTATTTTCCAAATTTTATTGTTTTTGTACACAAAAATCAAAGGGCCTTGCTTCCATCTGGTGTGACAACTGAAAACCTGCAAAGAGAAAAAAAAGAAAAAAGAAAAAAAAGAATTAAACTCAGTTTCAGAAATCAGTAAACTGAATCCTGAGCTCAAATTGTTGACCTCAGTTTCTGTGAGTTCCAAAAAGACTGTTTTTGGTGTCCTGTAAAAGTGTCACGGTTTGTGTTTGTGAGCTGAAACCCTTCTCAGACAAATGCCTCGATGTCTTCAACCGAAAAGAACCCCCTGCTCTGAGGAACCGGAGCAGAACCACAGAACGTGATTCTGAACCAGCGACCAGCAGAACCAGAATGAGTCCTGTTCCGACTCGTCATCGTATCATCACTGAAGGGAGCTGTGTGAGACCGTCCAACACCACAGTCTGTGTTAAATCACTGGATCCAGATTATTTTGCGATATATTATCAGGACAGCAACAGTGTCACCCGAACGGACCCGAATGGCTAAAATGTCATAATTTAAACCTGTTGAAGCTCCACTGTAGCAAACAGAACAGATCTACTTATCAGAATTCACAGAACCTCCAATTTTACTGCAGAAGAACTAAAAAACAAATGTAGTTTTTGTGTTTTCTCTCTTAGGTTAGCAGCAGGACAGGATCTATCATTAGTATACAGCCTTGTGAAGGCCCTGCAGCAGTCAAATAAAACCCTGTCTCTTACCCTCTTATGCAGTGGGTACAGGTGCTCCCTGGGGCATGACGGGCACCTCTGGCTTGGCCCCCTTCTGCTCAGACATTGGTGTGGTGGGCAGGGTCTCCTCCTTGGGCTCCACAATGCTGACGTGGTCGGGCAGGGGCTTCTTGGGGCCGATCTTACCGCTGGGGTCCCAGGGCAGCATGATCTTCACCTTGATGCCCAGCACACCTGAGAGCATTAAATAAACACATCAGTGCCACCAAAACAACGCGATGGCAGTTTGATTTGGCTGCATGTGGCCGAGCTGCACTCACCCTGCCTCAGCAGGACGTGGCGGACGGCTGTGTCGACGTAGTAGTTGACTGGGTCTCCGCTGTGGATCATCAGACCGTCCACAAACTTCATGGACTTGGCCCTCTGACCCCTCAGCTTGCCGGACACGACGACTTCGCAGCCCTTGGCGCCACTCTCCATGATGAACCTCAGAACGCCATAGCAAGCCCTGAAAAAGCAGAGTGATAAAACAGCGTTAGCGGCTAATCGATCAGTGGATCCAAAGTACTGCAAGATTCTCTCTCAGGAAACTTTCACTGTGATTGAAATGATTCTGGTTGGTCGACTTCATAAAAAACAAATTTTCTACATGGTGGGTTCAGTTGGAGGTCTTCAGGTTTTAAATCTGTAAAACATGCCATGAGACGCCTCCTTCATCAGTGAGCTTCATTAAAGCGTGCTTTGACCCTTCTCAGACAAATGCCTCAATGTCTTCACCTGGAAAGGACCCCCTGCTCTGAGGAACCGGAGCAGAACCACAGAACGTGATTCTGAACCGGCGACCAGCAGAACCAGGATGAGTCCTGTTCCGACTCGTCATCGTATCATCACCGAAGGGACAGAAGCCGACACACAGAACACAGGCTTCACCCTCAAAGTACACATGAGGTTTTTTATGACAGGGTGTTTCCTACTGACCATAATTTAACCTCTGTCAGCATTTTTACTGTTTACTCTTCTAGATTACGATCAAATTTCATACTTTGGGTCGGTTCCAACATACTAAGATGTGCCATGAGCAGAATACACTCATAAATAATTGACTTGAGAAAAACATCCAAACATTAAACTGTGTGCAGAGATGTATTTAGAGCTTAAGATGTCATGTTAGGAAGCATAACGTTAAGAAACATTTAATAAAATATCTTTGTGTTAAAGGACAAAACACAATACAAAAAGACAATTATAACGGTGAAACTAACGTTAATATTCATTCATTAAGAACAAGATTGTGTTGATGTAAAGAGCTTATGTGTAAATGTACATTATATATTACTCAATGGCAGAAAACATTTCTAAGGTGGAAGTTAACCCTGTGGAGCCATTAACTGTTTAAATCACACCAGTCTGATGAAATTTGTAACAAAAATAATTTAGTTAAATTAAAGAAATCCAGACATGCTCACCTGCGCACAGCCAGGCCTCCCAGCAGTTTGTAGCGCAGAGACTCAGCCTGAGCGATGGCACACAGACCACGAGTGGCAACTTTCTCAGCATACAGCTAAAAGAAAGAGGAAGGACATTTCAGTATTACAGAAAAACACTGGGATCAAACCAGCACGTGTAACGATGGACTGCAGGTTTCCTGCACCGTCTACAGCACAGTCCTGATGCCTCGACCCTTCTCAGACAAATGCCTCTGTGTCTTCACATGGAAAGGACTTCCTGCTCTGAGGTGCTGGAGCAGAACCACAGAACGTGGATCTGAACCAGCGACCAGCAGAGCGAGACTGAGTCCTGCTCCGTCTCGTCATCGTATCATCACTGAAGGGAAAGCTGACTGTCTAACATCAGAAGCCTTTGCACTTTACTCACTGGGTTTCCTACCAGGATGAGATTAATGTAAATTAAACAAAAGACCTCTAAACAGTTTAAAATTCCATATTTTTACATTTTTGCAGTCAAATGTATTTATTTTTCAAACTCTGAAACCTTCAAACATTTGTTCAGATACACCTCACCACTGACGAATTACTTTCCGTACTAAAAACCATCCAACAGTGAGCTTAAAACACCGATTAGTCTTACACATTTATAGCAAAAGGCTGGCTTCCGGTGACGGACCGTCCCTGGCATGCTCATGGAAATGTAGTTCTTTGAGCAGATATTCATTTTAAAAAAACGAGCACAAGACTGCAAAATAAATACAATTCAGGGGGTCAACCGGGAGGTCGATGTAACTGGCAAAACAATCTGGGGGCCGACCACAAGGTCAGCGATGGTGGCGAGGCTTGGCAGGGGCGGGATTGGCTGGTGGCAGCTCTTGGCGTGGCTTGGCAGGGCCAGATGTCGCAAAGTCCTCTGGCTGAGACGTGGCTGGATCTAGTGGCATGGACGTCGCAGGGAGCTGGGAGGGCTCGGCTGGGTCTCCAGCTGGCGGGGAAGTGGAGATCATGGCCATGACAAAGTACTCTGTCTCCTTTGGTCAATAGTCCAAGAATCCTTGGTC